ATCATTGGCGGCGCAATATCAACGATCAATGGTAAGAAGGCTTTTGGACTTGACCGATGAATAGATTGTATGGTGCTAAGCGTTGTCATCACAGATGGATCGTGGATGTCTACTGTCTGCACCTGTGAAAAGTGGACTGTGACCGGGGGCGTTCGAACCGAATCATCATTTGTGTGGAGTGTCGTGCAGAAATTGAGGACGTGCATTATTAAAAATCCCGCAATCTAAAAAAGAGTCATTGTCGATCAGATGATGATTAGTTGTACTCATCGACAATCACACGATGATGAACTTCTCCTCCACCTAACCAAACGATTTGTTACAACTTACAATCAACAATTTAACCCTGGAAATCATGGGGTTGTCAATTTTCTTCGCCGTCTCGGTCTCAACCGTTTTATCTTGTAGAGCTTCAATGATATCGTGCGCAGAGCTACTATTTATCTCATCTCTTTCCTTGGGCTTCTTTACCGGTCGAGTTTCCCTTATTCTCTTCAACTCGAGCTTGAGGGTTAACATGGCGGTATAAAAGGTGAACAAAAATACGCAATCATACAATAAGATGAAACCGGCCAAGAAGCAGAATTCCTGCAGTCCCGAGGCACCCGACATTGCACCCATGAATAACAAAGCGATCTCAATCAAGTAATCCCTCACGATCATAGGGCCGTCCTTGGTAACTCCAGCGATAACACTATCTCGTACATTATAGGGTACGGCCGAGGACTTCTTTTCTTCGATTTGATACAAACCCGACGCGGAGCTCATGGCATTGGGATCTGAGGGAGTAGCGGTAAGTACCGCCTTGGTGAGAGCGAATGGCTTCTCGAATCCCACGGTGATCACCAGGAATGGGATCGCTTCGCTGAAGATTTTAAACAGGAGAAGTGAAGAGTTAGATTTACAGGATTTCTTGTTTCGGTCGTAAGCAGGCGTTTCAAGTAAAAATACCTTAATAAGACCGGATTTACCGAGACACCGAACAGATTGATTGTCAATAGGGCGAACATGAAAGCAAAGAAACCATTGGATAGAACGCACATGGCTGGATGCGAAAAATGAACAGAGCGAGCGGATTAATATGCACAATCTCGTGGAATGAAAGAGAGAGAGAGAGAGAAAAAAAAAAGGGGGAATAAAAAAGATAGTCACCTAGTATATATCGGGAACCGATCTTTCTCATGTTGACAAAGAGTAGACCGAAGGTGCAATGCATTAAAACATATCCAGCAAAGATGACAATGATGTCTATGGTGTCTGCTTTCTATGGATGACAAGAAAACGAGATGAACAACACAATAACAATATAGAGAGAAATTATACTGGCTTCGTATTGTTTGAGATAGTGACCTGTATTAGTTCTTGAATGTTGGTGACGAGACTACCGGCAACGAAAGCCAGCCAGGCGAAAGAACCTTTCTCAGCGTGAGGAAACAATCGTTTACCATTGAAGACCACAAAATTCTCGACATTCAACCCGACCACCTTATCCTCCCAAGCATCAGCGAGATTAGCCATATAAGGACTGTTTGCATTAAGCGCGTAGTTCAACACCAGAGATGTGACTTTCTTCTCGGAGTCGATGTTGCCAATCGGCAGGGAATTTAATGCAACACACGTTTCATTTGATTTATAACATAAATCATCATTATAGTAATATTTGGCATGACCGTCTAAGATGAAAAGCTCATTCTCAACCCTTCTTCGAAACTTGGATACCAATTCCGACAATTTTTGATCTTCCCATATGCCTCCATCACCGCCACCAACGTTGCTTATCCTTGATTTAACTGCCTCGTGACTCTCTTTAGCCACCAGGCCCACTATTTCTTCATCATCTTGTTGAGTTGTGATTATGATTTGCTTTAACTGAAGTCTGACGGCTTGAGTATTGATCGACTCACGTTTTTCGGTTGTTACAAATTCATTCGAATTTGGACGAGAGATGGCTCTTACAGAATTGATTCTGGGGTAATTCTCGGTGTTAAAGAAATCCGATTCAATCAGAGATCGAAACAAAGATGCGTAGGCGAATGAGGCGATTATCAGGCAGAGCACGATCATCTCTATAGGGCTCCGAGAGGATTGTTTCGCGGTTGAATGAAGGAAATTTCTTGCAGAGAACATCGTATTAATTTTTTCTTTCGACGATTAAATCTTTGTGAGATACTTATTAGTCTGTGATGCAAACTTTTTCTTTCAACGCGGGATGTTTTTTTTTGTTGAGTGAGTATGTATAAAATGCTATTTACAAATAAGCGACAAATCCGTCGTAGGAAAGGAAATGTATTGTTTTTAAGAAATGAAGCAAAGATTATATTATATGCTAATAGTGGATTGTTTCGACTTTTTTTTTCAATATCAAATGAAAAAATGAAGGTAGAAAAAAAAAAATTAAGAAAAATTAAAAAATTAAAAAATATGCATATACATATATTGAATAAGAAATATAAAAAAAAAAAAAAAATTTCCTGACACGCCAGAGAAACACTTAAGTATTTATACTTATCTATCACAAAAATATACAAAGAAATATATATATATTGTGTATATTTTATGTATATTGTGTATGTAGAATAATATTAAAAGAAATAAAACAATGTTCATATAGTATATATAGAATAATGTAAACGATAAAGATTATATGAAGGTGTTTGGTTACACATGAAATTAGCATGCCACCGCACATCATCAGCTCGACATACAAAATTTTTTTTTTTTTTGTTTTTGTCATTCAGAATATATTAGTCCTGAATCCTAGTTTAACAAGAGGAAATGATATAAAGCTTACCTTTTATGCTACATTATATTAAAATAAAGTAAAAGATCAAAGAGTACCACATATCATCATTCTAGATACAGGTGGGCTAAAAAGTTTTTAAAGTATTTGAATAATGGAGCCGGTGGAGCCCGTGGAGCCCGCTTACAGCAAATGAAAATCTTTATGATAACTAAACCTGTTACTTGACGTTTATAGTCACGTGAGAGATAGTAAATGCTCGCTTCCTATTCCAGTGAAAGGTTTATCCAAGTTGGGAAGCAATTAAACTAGCGACACTCCTTAACGTCAATATCAAAAGGAAAGGTGAAAGCGGTCTTGACGTTTTGTCACCTCGAGTATGTAGCAGTGAAATAACTCGCTAACCAAATAAATGTCACCCGAAAGAATATTGAATGCTGTGATCAATGAATAGTAATATCGATGAATGGCACTTAAGAATGGTCATATTACTTACATACTATGAATACATGTGTTGTAGATTAGTAATTGTACTTCAGACCAGTCAGTGATGAAGCATGGGATATCTATCGGTGCATGGCAAATGCACAGACATTCTCACGAGAACCGTGTCATGGTCTTGGGTCAGCCTCGGATCCAGCGCCAGCTCTTACGACGACGATGGAGGATATTCAACATCCTGGGCGACGAACGACTAAATAACCAAGGAAGTAAATCCCGAGTGCATGATTATATTAGATCAATAAAGGTTATTCAAAATAGATTAGATACATTTAACGTTCATATTCAAAAAAAAAAACACTTACCAAAATCTAAAAGATCATGGAAGGAGATGATGATGACAGGAAAATGACAATTTGATGGTAAAAAAAATCATGGACGAGTGACGAGATCATGATTTTAGGAGAGACGAATGCCCTCATCCGTATGTATTATTTATGCAGAAGGTTAATCATAATGTCAACCGTCGACGATTACTCTTCGTCCGTTTGCTCATTCGAACACCGAGACGGATTTCAATTATTATTTTTTTCTCTTTTTTTTTGACCTGATGAGCAGTTCAAATTCGGGAAATGGCTAAATAAGGAAATTCATGCGCACCAAAACGTTATAATATTTAAGTACATGACTTCTAATTAATTCTAGTTCAAATTAGGTTGGCTCAAACAATATAATAAAAAAAGATTACATAATGCATTTGTCGTCGATTGTGAATCCAATCCGTCAGTTGGTAATAGGTGAGGTTAATATTCTGCGTGATGAAAGTGATGAAACAGGAGTTTCCTATTTAGGATACTCCTTGAAGCGTTATGTGTGACGGATAGGGATGGAAAAAGGTTTCAAGCAATCATCAGCTATGGAAAGTTCAACTTTATTTAATAAAAAATATATATATATATATATATATTATATAAAAACAAATTAACTTTTTAAAATTTGTTTATTTATTTTTACCGAATTTTCATGAAAGCATTCAGAGAATTTTTTTTATTATATAATTAAAATATTAATTATAAGAAAAAATTTTAATAAACAACTAGAAATAAATAATTTGCTTGGAAGTAGTGGTTCTCATCCCTAATTACGGAAGGTCCTTTTCATGGTTTGTTTCACAAAATTAACCAATCAGCAAGCAAGCAAGATATGAACTTGATTGTTATCGCATTGCAGTAAAAGTTTTGTAATCACACCAATCCCAAAAGCCTCAAATTTTCTAAAATCAAGTATTGAATTCGATGAACTTCATGTTTCGTTTTCATTCAATGATAAAATTCAGACATCGAACATGTTACTTGAGGAGCAATGACTGCAGTTCAGTCGTTGATCAGTGATCGCACGTCCTCTGATGGGTTCACCTTCTGACACGACAAGACCTTCGTACATTTCCTGTTGCCAGATTCGGCGGAATCCTGATGAATACAAAGAATGATAAGCTAATCTCTATCTGCATTCGAGATTATGTCATTAAATAAATTCTTGATCTCGACTCGAGCTACCATAACAGATTGATACCAATCGAAAAAAAAAAAAAGATCCTTAAAGAAAGCAAACAACAAGACCTATTCAAACTAATCGAACAAGGAATCACTCCTTCAATGAATGTGAAGAAAATCGACTTAACGCAATTTAGGTTTTCATATTATCGACGAATAAACCTGCTTTGTTGAATGACGCACCCGACTTAACTATACAAAACCATCTTAGTAAACTATTGGTTTAATGCGTAAGAAACCATCGAAACATTGAAGGAAAAAATCGATACTTTTTTTCCAAACAGAATGTATTGAAAAGTGGTTGACGTGCCAACTAACCATAAATAAATAACACGAGGATGAAGTTTACGTCATGATTCTATGGTTCCTGTAAAGTAGAACAAACGTCGTCTACAAATTCGTGGAATGCGCTTTTAAATAAATACCAAAATGCTTCAATAATGACTTATTCTGCCTAGCGAACATGTCAATCACTATTTCACCCTTTTATTCTGCGTTTGCGCAATGCCACGATTAACGAGAAATGCATATCTTTATTACATAATAATAACGATCACATAATCCCATCTAACAATTTTTTGAATCGAATCACGCTTGCTTATATCAAGATTTCTTCATGATCGATTACATTAGCCTTTTACATTCGAATATGGGCACGTTTCTTGTGCGAACAAAAAAGGCAACAAAAAAAGTATGCTTTCGAGATACACCTCATAGAAGGTTTCCAGCTTTATTTCTTAATGGATGCCCAAATTTGATAGATGCTTTCAGCGTTCACAACCTTAATTGGTTGCGGTAGAAGACGATCCTTGAAAAAAAGATCGGAACTACACAATCTACGCAATTCGCATTTGGTCAAGGATCATAAGAGACACGTGAATTTGAAATGAAAAATTTTGGTCACCGCAAAAATGCCCTTGTCACAATCGGGAGGTAATTTTGTAACATCAACAAATAAATCTCGAAAGAAAAAGGTTCTGACGAGTTTTTCCGTTTATTTTTCGTTTTATTCGCGTCTCCCTGAGAATTTGAGTCCGCAACAAGGTTAATGATAATAACGTTTGACACACCTTATCATCACTCTATCAACGCATTAGTCATCACTATGACCGTGCTCATCAAAAAAACCTGCCAAGTTGATCTGATTTACCTCACCTATTTTAGTGGTAACATGGATCCTTTTTTTACCTTAACATCTTACTGGTCTAGGGAAAAAGAAAACCGGTTAGTCACTTATGCAAATAATCTTTAAACTAGTCACATATGCACATAATCTTCAAACTAGTTCTGGGAAAATAAAAATCATGCTTTTTGTGTCGCTTTCAAAGGTCCTTTTTTTAAAATTTTATCCGAAAATGCATACCAAATCCAGTTACATGCAGAGTAGCTAACATTCAAAGTTTAATCGGCACGTTACGGAATTGTTAAACTCCATATAAGTACATTTTAAAAAATTCCCGATTCGTATGGCGTGCGTGAAAATTTGTGATAATGTTGATAATATTATAAATTTAATTTTTATTGAGAATACTCGGGTATTATATAAATAAAATTTCATATGATCTTAGAATGAAATAAGATTCATTAATCGATTCTTTTACATTATTTGGTTTTGATATACTGTATAATTCTTGTCCGTTTTCATACAATGGTCACTTTAATTTACCAAATAGACATCTGATAAAGAGTTTTTTTTTTTCTCAATTAATTTTTTCAAGAGAATTCGTAAAAAACAACCAATGGTAAAATTATGATCAATTAATCTTCCGATTTAATTTTCTTTTTTATATATCCTAAAATTATTATTATTATTATTATTTTAAGTAAATATTTTTTTTTTTTCTAAAATTACACATAGAATGTTTAAAATATAAAGATTTCGATAAATAGCTATTCAGTTTCAATTAATGTTATTTTCATCATATAAAAAATTTCTTGTAAATAAATCATGGATATTTTTTTCTCATAAAATACTAATTGTTTTTTTGGTTTATAAAACTTATTTAAACATAAAATTCTTTTTTAATAATAATTGCTTTATTAAATATACAATATAATTACTTTTAAATTATGTAATAAATATATATTGATTTGAATTTTATTAATAATTTAATTTAATTAAATATTAATTTATAAATATTTGTTAAAATATATACTGTATTTATTTATTTATGAATTTTTTATCAATTTAAAAAAATGGTGTTTTTTAAAATAAAATTTCAATATTTTTCTTGTAATAATTTGTTTAAATTATAAGAATAATAAAAATATATATATAAATAAAACCTTAAAAAGTTTATAATAAATATTATGCAAACTTAATAAATTAATAATTAAATTTGAAATTTTTTATTTATTAAAAAGTTTTTTTCAATGTTTTTATTTTTTTTTTT